AAAATTTCATCGCCGAACGATGCTCAGATTGCAACTTCTGCAGATACGTTGAGAGTGAGAAAGAAATCTTGCAATTTTTTTTTCTTTCTTCAATGTAAAAAATAAAAAGAAAAGACGAATTAACGAGTGGATCTAATAAGATGAGGAAGATACCCCAAGAGATTTCCGAGAATTTAACCGTACATTTACCCAGTCCCTTCTTTGAAAATTCCAACCACTGATTTACATTTTGGGTCCAATTTCTTGACAGAGACTCATCACCTATTTATTATACTTGAACTACTGCAAATACTTTGATTGGGTCAAATTGTTTCCATGAAACTGCTAAGCCATATCTGTGTCATGATGAATTCCTTAGGGTGCCACAAGAATTAGTAATGGAAACATGTTCAATTCATGGTCAGTTTGGAAAAACAGACAAAGCATTTACCCATGTATCTACAAAAACGCTTTCAAGGATTTTCCCATTAGTTAATGAATATTTCAAGAACCAAAACGGATCTATTCAGTCTTATTTTACCTCGGACCAGCAATTGTATTAACTAATAATCTATGTATCTGTTTAAGCTTCTTTAGCGACATCGATCATCTTCCTTCTCTTCTGCATACCCTTCTCGCAGCATCTGAGATCTTTCAGCCTCCACCTGAAACTCTGCTGCAGCAAAGATGAAAATTATTATGAAATCAAATGATCCTTCTCTGTTTTCAGATTTCTCTAGTATTTTAGTACAATGTAAGTATGTAACATCACATATTAATTATCATCCAGCAAATGTTCTGCATGGCGCATCCAGTTCTTGAGATACAATCTAATCATTCATTAAACACGAAAATGCATTGAGAATCCAAAACAATTGTGATACATAAATGCATAGATACATAGACATACATGTTATACATATATAGCTATCCCTAGATGATAGATCATTATTACTTGTGAGTTAAGCGCACTTGAGCACAGTAGGTAGGATACAGTACTGATATAGCACACCTGAGGTCGAATCTGCGGTTATGTAACAGATTAATCTCTTCTTCTTGTTTCCCACCGCTTCTCTGAGCTATTTTTCTTACGTATAGATCTGATCTGAGTTCCATAATTCAGAAAGAAATGATTTTCAAATCTGGCTTTTGTAGTCCAAGAACAGAGAAGATCTCTAGGTATAATCATTCAACGATGTCTCAATCCGCTTGAGTTCCTTCGCGACTTGGATCATCTTTGGTCTGTCTTCATCTATCTCCTCGCAACATCTCAAAGCCAGCACCACACACGCTTCCACCTGCAATCTTTGACCACTTATGATTTCTTTCATCATCATTGGATCTATTAGTTCATCGAGCTTCCCGTTCTCATATAAGCGCTTCACATAGCCAGCAATGATTTTGTTATCCCCAACAGATCTAGCGTAGTCGTAAACTGATATGCCAGTGAGAAAAATCATCAAACATATTCCAAAGCTGTACACATCGGTATATTCCGTCACAAAACCCGTGCTAACATATAATGGATCGCTGTACCCACATGTTCCGAGAATGCTTTCAACTTCTATTCTTGATTTTCCCTCAGGGAGTGTTACAGAGATCGAGAAATCACACAACTTTGTGGTCCAATTCTTACCCAAGAATATGTTGGTTGGCTTAATGTGTCTATGTATGTTGATCTTAGGGAACGCCATGTGAAGATAAGTCACAGCGTTTGCAATCTCCTTTGCAATCTTTAAGTGTACACTCCATGGCAGTATAGATTCAAGATTGATATGAGGTTAATAACATGCAACATGAGCTTCTCTGGAAACCAGAACCATCCTACATGTTCAGGCCTGATTTACTTGAAAGTCATATAACTATTAAGAAGTAAGAAATCCAGCTAATACACCAGCCCTTTGTATGAGCATGATCCCAACCTTAAAACTGACTATCCTTAGACACATTTTCAACTCAGGCTTTAAGAATCGAGTGATCTTTCTATTAGCTTAATCTCTTTTGCAACCAAAATCATCTTTGGCCTATCTTCATTCCTCTCCTCGCAGCATCTCAATGCCAGCTCAAGAAACATTTTCATCTGACCAGGCCTCATGTAATTCGTATCATCCCCGAATTCAACAGTTTCTCCTCTCTCTTGCAGATCCTTTGCATAATTGAGAATAAAACGATCAACCCCACTTGATCCAACCAAAAGTGGTTGTCTTCCCATCAGAAGAACCAACATAAAGATTCCAAAGCTGAACACATCTGTGTATTCTGTCACTATACGCGTATATTGATAATTCGGATCAATGTATCCAAAAGTTCCCATCACTTTATCTTCTTCAATCCACGACTTACCCTCAGGGAGTGTTACGGAAAGCGAGAAACCACTCAGCTTAGCCGTCCAATTCTTGTCCAAGAAAACATTTGATGCCTTGATATCTCTGTGTATAATGATTCTAGGGAAAGCCGTGTGAAGATAAGTTACAGCAATCGCAACCTCCTTGGCAACCTTCAATCGAACATTCCAAGGCAACATGGGCGAGTCGTAGCAACCGACACTTCCTCGATAGTTCAAAACTCCATAGTTTGGGTTTTCAAACACCGCGACCGGAAAAGGAAATTCGAGACAGTATCCTATGAGTTTGAGGAAACCACTGTGATTGCTTACCCGAGCAGATAAGACAATGTCGTTGTAATCCCCTGGTACACCCTGTCCCGTGAACCGTATATATTTCTTGATCGCGTATGATCTGCCTTGGATGATGCAGGTGAAGAAATCAGGATCGAAGTGATTCGTGGCCTTGGAGATTTGATCGGAAGAGAACATTCGGATGGGATTTGATATGCCGTTAGAGTCGGCGACGAGTTCTTGAAGAAACATACTTCCATTCTCGAGGAACCACTCTCTCGGCTTCCCCTTCACCTTCTTCCTTCTCCAAAATTCCATCGCCTACTGATGCTCAGATGGCAATTTCTGCAGATACCGTTGAGACTTTGTGTAAAAAAGATCTTTGCAATTTTTTCTTTATGTAAAAAAGAATTAAGACTATGGATCTTATAAGGAAGATAAGAGGAGATTCAAAGAGTACCTTTTCCCAGTCCCTTTGTTGAAAATTTCAACCATTGACTACATTTTGGGTCCAAGTTCTTGGCAGGGGCTCATCATCCTCATAACTACTCATGGGTCCATACAACGAACTGATGGGTCATTTACGAAATTGTTTATTGAATATGGAAAAGGAAATACATTAAAGTGCCGCTTCTGGTTGATGATTACCATTAGCGGAGATTAATAACATGTAACATGAGATTACAAATCCTTACCAGCGATCAATAAGCTGCAACCTACTTCAAACTTTCCAATGACTTACATTCTGATCTTCAAGATTCTCCCACGAGTTATATGAATATTTCAATAAAAGACGGATCTATATTATAGTCTTGTCTAACGCCAGAATCCTGCGAGCTAGGATGTATTAACTTAGTGATCTCTCAATCCGTTTAAGCTCCTTGGCAACATTGATCATCTTTGGTCTCTTCTCCACACTCTTCTCGCAGCATCTGAACGTTAGCTCCACAAACTTGTCAACCTGAGATCTTCCAGTCTCCTCAATGTCTCTCACTCCAACCCTGTATATGGTCTCGATAAACTCGCCTTTCTCTTGTAAGCCCCTTACATAGTTACGTATATCAATGAAACGCACATCAGACCGAGGAGCCATACCATGTCTTCCAATCAGAAGAACCATCATAAAAATTCCAAAGCTATAAACATCAGCATACTCTGTAACGATACTCGTGTGGAGATACGACGGATCCAAGTATCCAGGCCATCCCATCACTTGATCTTCCATTTGTGATTTCCCCTCCGGGAGAGTTAGAGCAAGCGAGAAATCTGTCAGCTTAGCTGTCCAGTTCTTGTCCAAGAAAACATTCATGGGAGTTATATTTCTGTGTACAATGATCCTGGGGAACTCAGTGTGAAGATAAGTAACTGCATTGGCGATCTCCTTTGCCACCTTCAGTCTTACATCCCAAGGCAAGAACTCAATATCCTTCGAACCAATACCTCCTTGGTGGCCTAGAGTTCTGTTTTCTGCGTGTTCAAACACCAGAACCGGAAATGGGAACTCAAGACAGCATCCTAAGAGCTTCAGGAAATTACTGTGATTGGTAACACGAGCAGATATGACAATGTCGTTGTATACAGCTCCAATTCCATCTCCATCTCCTCTGACTTTCTCCTCGGGAAACATCTTGATCATGTAAGATCGATCTTCAATGCTACCAGTGAACCAGGTGTAGTAAAGGTCACTCGTGACATAGCGGCTTGGATCGAAGCCATTTGTGGCCTTGAGGATCTGATCAGAAGAAAAGCTTCGGATAGGATTTGTTTTACCGTTGCATCCAGCAATGAGCTCTTTAAGAAAAGTGCTTCCATTGTCCAAGAACCACTGTTTCCTCCTCTCTTTGCCCTTATTTCTCCAGAGCTTCATGATCTTCTTGGGATCAATTAAAAACAATGCTTTTGCAGTCTTAAAATGTTAATGGAAGTCAAAGTTGGCTCCTCGTGAAGACAAAACAGTATAATAATGTTGAATCTGAGCCATTAAAGTTTCAGAAAGTCAACTTTTTCGGTTAACACGTTTGAAACTCACTCTTTTGCACATGTAGTCTGAAATGATCAACACAAAACTTTCATGCGGTTTCAGCTTTGTAGCCTAATCCGGATAAAACAATTTCAACAAGAATAATTTGAAGCAAGTTCTCCAAACTATGCTTCAAGGATCTACTCAACGCTAAGAACTACTCCTTACTTACTCCTTAGTTCAACGCCGAGGTTCTCAGAAAACCAGAACCAGACCTGATTTCCGAACCTAAACATAGACTTATTTTACTCTCGGCTCATTTTTTTTTACAGCCCTTGTATGAGCATAATTTCAATCTTAACACTGACCATTCTTAGACCGATTTTCAAGCATCGCAGGCTTTAACAATCGAGTGATCTTTCTATTAGCTTAATCTCTTTAGCAACCAAAATCATCTTTGGCCTGTCTTCACTCCTCTCCTCGCAGCATCTCAATGCTAGCTCAAGAAACATTTTCATCTGACCAGGCCTCATGTCGTTTGAACCATCCCCGAATTCAACAATTTCTCCTCTCTCTCGCAGATCCTTCACATAATCCAGAACATTACAATGAACCCCATTTTCTCCAGCAAAAACTGCTGGTCTTCCCATCACAAGAACCAACATAAAGATTCCAAAACTAAACACATCTGTGAACTCTGTCACTAAACCCCTTACATAATAAATCGGATCAATGTATCCGAAAGTTCCCATCACCCTATCATCTTTAATCCAAGATTTACCTTCAGGGAGTGTTACTGAAAACGAGAAATCAGTAAGCTTAGCATTCCAATTCTTATCCAAGAAAACATTCGTCGGCTTGACATCTCTGTGTATAATGATCCTAGGAAAAGCTGTGTGAAGATAAGTCACAGCAATTGCAACCTCCTTAGCAATCTTCAATCTAACATTCCATGGCAATATAGATTCTTCCCCGTCAACAAAAACGCGTCCTTTCTCATTCACTTCACCATTTTCTGGGTATTCGAACACCATAACCGGAATAGGAAACTCGAGACAACAACCCAAAAGTTTGAGAAAAGTAGATTGATTGCTTACCCGAGTAGCTAACACAATATCGTTGTAAACCTCTTTCAATCTCTCTCCTTTAAACTCTGAGTCTGTGAATTTCTTGATCGCGTAAGGTCGGTCTTCGATGACGCCTTTGTACCAATTGAAGAATCCATGACGAGAGAGATAAGAACTGGGATCGAATCGATTCGTGGCATTGAGGATTTGATCGGAAGAGAAGAATCGGATAGGGTTTGAAACACCATTACAATCGGCGATTAGCTCTTGAAGAAAAACGCTTCCATTGTTGACAAACCATTCGCTTTCGCTTCTCTTGTCGTCCTTCACATTCTTCCTTCTCCATGACCTCATCTTCAAAAACAGAGACTTTACAACAACAACAAAAATATTTATTGGATAATTTATTACTAAGAAAAATGACATTTTTATATGTTTATATTTCTCTCACCTCAACCTCAAACATAAACAA